GGGAAAACAATAATGGACTTAGTTGGAAGTCTTCACATTGAAAACTGATTCCTTTACTTAATAATAGTTGCATGGTCCTAGGTAAGTCATGCAGCTTCTTGTCTAAAACAGGAGCTGTGCATAAATTAACTGAGATGATGTTTGTGAAAAAGCATTGTAATTGTCTTAAAATACTATGTGCATAATTGTTTTATGACTTGAAAGGAAGAAAATAGTTTTTAAAAAATTTGTAAGGGAATTTCTGTTTTAAAAATACTTAAGTGAATTCTTTTTACAGTAATTGTTAATATAGCAAATAATAGCGATATAATAAAATAATCAGCATAATTGAAATTTCTCAGAAAAAAGTGTAATATTTAGGCAAAACTTTTCCTCTATTTTTGTATTTGGTGTTTAAATGTAGCACATTAAATGAAAGAACATTATCTTTCTCAATTCTTTTCTTTTTAAGGTTTGGGAGTTGAGTGATATTGACCATGATGGAATGCTTGACAGAGATGAGTTTGCAGTTGTAAGTAACCTAATGCTCTTAAAATCTTAAACATCTTAATGGTTTCTCAAGTGAAAATTTTCCTTTAGTTCATCCTTATAGGAAAACTTATTTCCCAAATATTGTTGGTATGAATATTTTTACCTAGAATTTGTAGATAATCAATAAATATTTTTAAACAAATGGGTAATAGAAAATGTATGTGTGTGCTCTCTTCATTTTATTTGACTTAAAGAACACACAGATATGTACTTTGGATGATGCACTGTAAAGATGCTGAGTACTGTTATCTTTTGTATCCCGACTTGACCAAGCATCTCTGTACCTGCTTCTGCTCTGGAATAATTTCACTTCATATATACCCCCAAAATTTCACATTTGTTTCATTAAAGGAAGACATGAATAACATTTTAGTGTTGCTTCATTTGTATATGATGAGATAGTTTTGATATCTTTCTGAAGACATGTTATCCTTAATAATTGGACAATTAATTTAAAATAGAGTTGTATTCATCTCTTCCTTAAAAGTTAGATAAAATTCTTCTGTGAACTCATGAATGGTGAATCTCTAATTCCCCTTTTATTTCTTATTTGAATATTAGTCTGTTCAAATTTTTCTTTTTGCTAAGGAATTATCCATTTATTTGACTTTCAAACTTGTTGCCACAGATTTATTTGTATTATTCTTTTAATCTATTCTGGGTTTATGGTTGTACCTCTTTTTTATTCCAAATCTTATGTATTTTTTTCTCGTATTTTTTTGTTTAATTGAATTTTATCTAGTTTATTGATCTTTAGATAGAGATATGTTTTGGATTTATTTATCCTGTTACTATGTTTTGACTTTTATTCTTTTTAACTTTTCTCTTATTTTGTTAATCCTCACCCGAGGATACTTTTTCATTGATTTTTAGAGAGAGTGGCAGGGAGAGGGAGAGACAGAGAGAGAGAAACATCATTGTGAGAAAGACACATGGATTGGTTGCCTCCCTCAGGTGCCCTGACCATGGCTGGGATTGAGCCTGCAACAAAGGTAAGTGCCCTTGATTGGAATCAAGCCTGGGACCCTTCAGTCCGTGGGCTTGATACTCTCTATTCACTGAGCCAAGTTGGCTAGGGCTCAACTTTTATCTTAATTACATCTTCCTAATTTCTTTTCGTTTACTTTAAAAAAATTTTCTGAAGATGAGTACAAAGTCTGTTTATTTTTATCTTTAATGTTCAAAGCATTTATGGAACATTTTTTACCTGAATACAGGGTTAGCTAGATTCCATATATATTGGTACAAAGTATTTCCTTTTCACATAATTTTTAGGTGTTTTTGATCATCTACTTAGGAATGTTTCCTACTTTCAAAGTATTTAAGTGTGTTTGTCTGGTTTTTGTTCCCTTTGTATATAATGTTAGCTGATTAAATTATGACTTGAGAATGTGGTCTTTAAAATCTTTACTTAAAAAAATGTGTTAGTGCTCTAACCGGTTTGACTCAGTGGATAGAGCATCAGCTTGCGGACTGAAAGGTCCCAGGTTCGATTCCGGTCAAGGGCATGTACCTCTCTGAAATTAATAAAAAGTATTTTTAAAAAATTTGTTAAGGTTTCTTTCGTTGCTAAATTCATGACCTGTTTTTACATATGTTCTCTGGCTATACTAACCTTTCTGTTCAGAATATTTTAGACTTCTGTAATCCACTACATTGATTTTATTATGTTTTATTTATTTATTTATTTTTTTTAAACATATTTTATTGATTTTTTACAGAGAGGAAGGGAGAGAGATAGAGAGCTAGAAACATCGATGAGAGAGACATCGATCAGCTGCCTCCTGCACATCTCCTACTGGGGATGTGCCCACAACTCAGGTACATGCCCTTGACCGGAATCGAACCTGGGACCTTTCAGTCCACAGGCCGACGCTCTATCCACTGAGCCGAACCGGTTTCGGCAGATTTTATTATGTTTTAGTTTTTCTTTGTCCTTTTCTCTGCTATCCTGGAGTAAGCTTAGGTTTATTTTTTGATATTTTTACATTGAAATCATAATGTAAAATGCTTCTTAGTTAGGTGTCGAGTTCTAGCTATGTAAATGCGTTTTAGTTTTAAAACTAAACTAGCTACCAGCCACATATTTTGTGTGTGTGTATGGTGCATCATTTTATTTAGTTGCTGTATTTATTTTGATGCTGTATTAATTTTGATGGCAGACTTTGTTTAGGATAAAGTATAGTGTTATAAGAAAACAAAATCACAACCAGCAGTATATTGTTCACTTTTTTTGTTTTATTTGGTAGAAAAATTGACCAGTTTTGTCAAAAAAACTATTTTCAAGGCAACATGAAATTAATAATATAGTATTTTTTTAACTTTCAAAAAAATGTGTTGTCTCTTGTCAGCAGATGGCTGACATTGCTTTTTTTGCTTCTAGTGTTCTCTTTTCCAGGAAATGACTCCTATCTGCAGCAAGAGGAATGCTGACCTTTAACGTGCATGTTGGTCCCTTCTTTTAGTTTGGTGTCAATCTGACAATAGCACACATATTGTGAATTTGGTTGGAAGTATCTGCTAGCCAGATTGTTTTCTTTCTGGAGTTTCAAGCTTTGGGAGATTGAAAGTTTGTGTGTTTCTAAAACCGAAATGAAAAAAATAAAAAATAAATTGAATTCTTTAGGTTGACTAGTGAATGGAGAGAGGTGAATTGTTGGTTTGTATCAAATGGTTAAATGTGGTCTCAGGGTAAACAGCATCAGAATCACCTGGGAATGTCCTAGAAATGCAAATTCTCTGGCTCAACTGTAGACTTTACTGATTCTAGAATTCTGGGAGTGGGGCCCAGAAATCTGTGCTTTATCAAGCTGTCCAAGTAGTTCTGATGCCTGCTACAGTTTGGATACCAATGGGTTAAAGGTTAGTTTTACTGCTCAAAGAAGAGAGCATGGTATTGTAAAATTATGTGTGCTCCTAATAAAGCTGATCAAATCTGGAAAAAAGAGTTTTGTAGTCAGAATATCTTGGTTTGCGCCTTACTCTATCACTTCTTAAATATATCAGACAAGTTACTATCATAGCCTGAGTTTCTTCATTTGCAAAATGATATTAGTAATCACAGAAATCATGAGTTGTATTATGTGCTCAGTGAGTATTGACTTGAAAGCTCCACAAAACTTAGAATTAAAAACAAACCTATTTGGGGGGGAATTGCTATTTTTAATGGAAGAAAAAAACTAAGAAGAAATAAATTAAAGCTTCCTTCCAGTTGCTGTTTGAATACTTCGGGAGGTTCCAAGTCGCTTTGAGTAATTTCATATGCTTGAAAATAGTTACAGAAAATTTTCATCTTTTGAAAGTATTGAAGGTGCCTTGGATTCAAAGTGGAAGGAATATCCTGGTACAGTCGCTATGTAGGTTGTTTCACTTTGTGCAAGTGCTTCATGTATTTAATAATTAAAAATAATTTTAATAGGTAATACATTCTCATGGTTCAGAAATCAGTACAATATAAGGAGCTATTCACTGGGGAGCATATTTGCCCTCAACTGCTCCATTTACACCTCCTCCATAATGAATCACTTTTTTTAGTTTCTTCTTTATTCTTCTAGAGATCTTAATGCAAATATAAGCAAATAGGAATAGTTATTACCCCCTTAATACAGAAGATGACACAGTGTACATACTGGCATACATACTGTCCAACACCATACTTTTATCATGTTTATCAGTGTGTCTTGGATATCTTTTCTTACAGCCTAATTTCTTTAAAAAAAAGATTTCAGACAGTTTGAAGATGCTTTGTTATTGAATAGTAATCAATTCAATGGGTGAATGATAGTAAATTATTTTAATATGTCTGACCCTGGTTTATCTGTTTTGAAGGCCATGTTTTTGGTATACTGCGCACTTGAGAAAGAACCTGTGCCAATGTCCTTGCCTCCAGCCTTGGTGCCACCTTCAAAGAGGAAAACGGTCAGTATATCAGGCTCTGTGCGGTTGATCCCCACTTCAGCAGCCAAGGAATCTTACCACTCCTTACCACCTGTAGCCATTTTACCTACCAAAGTACCATTAAGACAGGTATAGATTTATCAGTGTTAAAAAACCTTTTTTTAAAAAACAAACTGCATGGCATTTAACAGTTGATTGCTTGATGAAGATAGAAGAGGCAGTCAAAGGGTTCAAGATTTAGAGCTCCCTCTTATTGCATCTGAACGATGTGATGTCCCAAAGAAAATAGGTAATCCTTCTGCATTTGGCCTTACTTAGATCATATGGAGGTTTAATGGCTTTGCCTTGATCAACCTAGAATTAAAGTTAGAGGTAGCAGATACTCTCCAGTGGTCGGCAAACTGCGGCTTGCGAGCCACATGCAGCTCTTTGGCTCTTCCACAAAATACCGACTTCTGCACATGGGCCACGAAGTTTCAATCGCACTGTATGTGCGCGCCCGCACGTGGTATTTTGTGGAAGAGCCACACTCAAGGGGCCAATGAGCCGCATGTGGCTCATGAGCCGCAGTTTTCCGACCACTGCTCTATACTAATCTGGAATGCTTGCCCTGTCGTAGTTAATAGGTGTTTTTATTTGTTTAATCTCTAGTTAACTCTTGATCTTTTTTTTTTTTTTAATATATTTCATTGATTTTTCACAGAGAGGAAGGGAGAGAGATAGAGTTAGAAACATCGATGAGAGAGAAACATCGATAAGCCGCCTCCTGCACATCCCCCACCGGGGATGTGCCCGCAACCCAGGCACATGCCCTTGACCGGAATCAAACCCGGGACCTCTCAGTCCACAGGCTGATGCTCTATCCACTGAGCCAAACCGGTCTTGGCAACTCTTGATCTTTGGGTTCAAATTACCCAATTTTGGGTTATACAAGGCCTTTTTCCCCTCCAACCTGCTTTTTGTCAGGTTGCATAAAGGAAAATAATGACAGGCTATGCAAGTCAGCCAATTTGTATATAGTTAGTAATGCTGAATGAAACTATAAAAACATTGGAGATTGAGAATTATCTGAATATTTTGTTTAAACAAACTCTGCACTTACCCATATTCATCTGGTTATAAGTCAAGAGTTAACTGTGCTTGAATTTACTCGTTACTTAAAAAGAAAAAAGTAAATGGGCATCTATAAATGTAGTTCCACTGACCTATATTTTTCTTCTGTAATTTTTTGTTGACCACAACATTTTAGTCAGGGATCTGATGAAAATGATATGCTATTGCTATACTTACTAGTTAATGGAATAAAATGGTTCAGAATTTGTGACAGATACTGTCATGTGTTAAAAGATGTCACTTCAAAGTTTGTTTTATTTTGGTAGAAATACTATATATGTATATGTGTATATATATATATATATATATATATATAATTATTTTTGTGTGTAGTGGGTTGTATCACCTTCAGAAAAAGCTAAATATGATGAAATCTTCCTGAAAACTGATAAAGATATGGATGGATTTGTTTCTGGATTGGAAGTCCGTGAAATCTTTCTGAAGACAGGTTTACCTTCTACCTTACTAGCCCACATTTGGTAAGACTTTATTTAAACTGATTTATCCTAGCTGGGTAACTAAGTGGTTAGAGCATTGTCTCAATATGCCAAGGTTGAAGATTTGATCTCCAGTCAGGGCACATACACGAAACAACCAATGAATGCATAAATAAATGGAACAACCAATTAGTCTTTCTCTCCCCCCCCCCCCACCTTCTTCCTTCCTATCTGTCTCTCAAATTAATAAATAACATTTTTAAATGGATTTTAAAAACAAATATGGTTTGTATTAAATCTAGTTTTGTGCATTATTATTTTTAGGCATTTATCAATAGGAAATTTTTTGTTTCGGAATTCCTTATAGAAAAACTGAGGATTTCTTCTGGATGATGGACAAAAGCTGGAGAATGGGTTACCTAACATTTTATAAGATTGACAGTGTCGCCGAAACCGGTTTGGCTCAGTGGATGGAGCGTCGGCCTGCGGACTGAAGGGTCCCGGGTTCGATTCCAGTCAGGGGCATGTACCTGGGTTGCGGGCACATCCCCAGTGGGGAGTGTGCGGGAGGCAGCTGGTCGATGTTTCTCTCTCATCGATGTTTCTGACTCTCTATTTCTCTCCTTTCCTCTCTGTAAAAATCAATAAAATATATTAAAAAAAAAAGATTGACAGTGTCAGTTAATTGTTATTAGAATGTTAAAATGCAGCATCTATCTATCAATATATGTCAACTAAACTTAAATTTTTGAAAATACTTTTTATTGATTTCAGACAGGAAGGGGAAGGGAGAGGTAGAAACATCAATGATGAGAGAGATTCATTAATCGGCTGCCTCCTGCACGCTCCCTACTGGGGATTGAGCCCACAACCCAGGCCTGCTGGCCAGAATCAAACCTGAGACCCCTCAGTCCACAGGCCGACGCTTTATCCACTGAGCCAAACCAACAAAGGGAAACTTAAATTTTTAAAAAAATATTTTTATTGATTTCAGAGAGGAAAGAAGAGGGAGAGATAGAAACATCAATGATGAGAGAGAACCACCGATCTGCTGCCTCCTGCACGACCCTCACTCGGGATGGAACCCACAACTCTGGCATGTGCCCTTAACTGGAATCGAATCCAGGACCCTTTGGTCCACAGGCCAAGGCTCTATCCACTGAGCCAAACCAGCTAGGGCCAAACTTAAATTTTTAAGGGAGAATACAAAATTTGAAATTTAAAGTGTCTTCAAGGCATATCTGTACAATTCTGTAGGGCATATGTATACTTTTATACCTTCACATTGGAATTACATACTTGGTCCTTAAAAAAGACAAGCCTTGCCTTGGCTGGTGTGCTTAGTGATTAGAGCATTGGCCCATGCACCAAAGGGTCGAACAAAGGAGGACAGTAGTTCTGACTTAAAAGGAACAAGAACCCAAGACTGGGAAAAATTATATGCATAACTAATAATAGCTGCCACTTTTGAGTGCCTAGGCTAGGCACAATGCTCAGTAAAATGGCAGCTGTTATGGATGGGTGTGGCATTATGCCCACACTTTTTATGTACTTCGTCTTTAATTCTCATAGTAATCTTGCAAGATGGATGTTATCTCCACTTTAGAGATGAAGAAATTAAGGCTCGGAGAGCTTAAAAATTTGGCTAAGACCACAAGAATAAATAAGTACAAAAGCTGAAATTCAATGTTTCTTTGATACTGTAACCTATAACCCAGCGGTTCTCAACCTGTGGGTCTCGACCCCTTTGGGGGTCGAACGACCCTTTCACAGAGGTCGCCTAAGACCATCGGAAAACACATATATAATTACATATTGTTTTTGTGATTTATCACTATGCTTTAATTATGTTCAATTTGTAACAATGAAAATACATCCTGCATATCAGATATTTACATTACGATTCATAAAAGTATCAAAATTACAGTTATGAAGTAGCAATGAAAATAATTTTATGGTTGGGGGTCACCACAACATGAGGAACTGTATTAAAGGGTCACGGCATTAGGAAGGCTGAGAACTACTGCTATAACTGGTAGTCTTTTTGTCCGGTCAAATTAGTTTTCAATGAATCAAACAGATCAGAACTTCAGAAAGCTAAGCTTTAAAAAAAAGAAAATAGAATAAAACATTTGCTGTTTCTCTTCAAGTGATTTTGTAAAGCTTTCCAGATTGCTGCCTTTCTTCACATGTGATCTCCATTTGCAGCTGTTGTTTCTGCTTTAACTTGGTGATCCTTACATCCTCCTACTCCGAGTTGCAGGAAGCAAGCTGACATGGAAGTTTTTGCTTGTTTTAGAATCATTCTAATACCACTAGTGAACCAATTTTGTTGAAACTTAGGTTTCATTTTTTTATATCTTTTAATGTTGAAGTATTGGGAGTAGACAATGTTGAGATTCTTTGGTCCACTACAACTCTTACTCAGTAGTGACTGTGGAAATTGGTAAGAAAAAGTACAAAACAAACCCAGATTAGAGGCCTTTGCTCAGCACCAGGGCCAACATTCTGTTTGTCTCTGTGTCTCTATCTGTTTTGTTCTCTTGCTTCTAACGTTTGAGTGAGTTTTGGGCAAGCCACAAATTAGTATGACCTTTTTTAATTCAACTAATCATTTTTAAATAGTCACATTAGACTTTTAGAGTGGTAGTTGTGGCATTTATATACTGTTCATTTTGTTTATTTGTACAGGGCATTATGTGACACAAAGGACTGTGGAAAGCTTTCAAAGGATCAGTTTGCCTTGGCTTTTCACTTAATCAATCAGAAGTTAATAAAGGGCATTGATCCTCCTCATATTCTTACTCCTGAGATGATTCCACCATCAGACAGGGCCAGTTTACAAAAGGTAAGACAACTTAGAAGAAACCTGAATGCATTAACAGAAAGGAACAAAAGCTATGTCAGATGACAAACTCGATTTGGACAGAATGGTAGAGAAATATATCTGGCTAGGAGCAGAGGAGTATACTGTTTGTGGTTTAGTTTGTGACTATAGATATGCTGAATATATGTATGATATCCTTGGGCTGCCCCTCATTTACCTCATCATTCATCACACATATGGCAACCACATTTTTCAGTCTCAAAATTGGAAAAATGTCTTATTTTTCCCCTCCTGGATCTGTGGATTAATTTTTATGAATGGGGTATAAAATTTAAATGAAATCCATAAGGATTAAATTATTGGGTTTCATTTTTTGATTAACTCTTACAAAACAATGTAATTTTGAAAACAAAATCAAGGAAATTATAATTGCTTGATATCAGTTTTAAATTTAAATTAAAAAACTAGAAAAAACATTATATTGAGGAGAAATCTGTGGTTTTACCATATAGATGACAGCCGAGTTTCATACCTGTACAGCTAGGAACAGGTTTTACTGTTTTGTTTTCTGGCCAACAATAGGAACTTTCAAAACTACATTGTTTAGCCATGTTGTGTCTTGGTTTTTCTCTCATCTATAAACTCTCCAAGTATAGTGCATTTACAATATATTGGCCTTAATAGAGCTTTAAAAGGATTTGCTATTAAAAATACATGCTCTGAATCTGCAAATTTCCTGTGACCTATAAAGTAGCCATTGCTGTAGTTATAGTTGTTAAATGTGTGGTATGAGTAAAGTATTTTTACAATGTCAGTACAATATTTTGATTTTGCATAAGTTTGTCATGTAGCTTGAAAAATCTCATTTAAACAAATCTCATTAAAGTCAAAATTGGGTATTTTCTAAGTCATCTAAATGGAAATGTATAGCCACCAGGTACAAAAGTTGGTTCTCAAAGTTCTTATTCTTATTTTTAAATAAAATAAGTATTTGATTATTTGCTTTGTGAGTTTTTTGGGGGGGAATATTTTATGAATTTTTGGACATTTCATATGATGTAGGACGTGGGTTCCCTAAGTTGTGGAGAAGGCTAAAAATGATGCCACCTATAAAGATAAAGGTTACAAACCTGTACTGATGCCCTCTGCTATAACTATCTCAGTTCTGGAATGATTATTTGTTTCACCCTTTCTTTTCCTTACATAGACGGTTTTTTTCCCCTTGCTACCTTCATTTTATACCCACTTAATCTCTCACCAACACAAATTACAGATATGACAGAATTTGCTGAAGCAAATTATGTTGTTCATTGAAGTCTCTATAACATTAGTAAACACTTCAAGTTGTATCTGCTCTACAGAGTTTTTAATGTAACAGATTTGTTTGAAGTCCATTCACTGGAGCATAGACACCCTTGTCTGTCATCAAAATGGGATTTTGTCACTGTTTCTTATCTATTAACCAAAATTTTTAACCTTAAAAATTAAAACTCACATTTGTTTTTGTCTTTCAAATAATCTCTCTTCTTTTAATAATCTGATTATTTTTTTAGCATTGCATTTATTTTATTTTATTTTTTTGCAGCTGTGACTAATCCTTTTACGAATGTTGCTTTCCTTTCTGTATTTTTTCTAGTTTGGACTATGTTTTCCATTCTGCAGCACTCTACTTTTTGCCTTTCTTGTACTGTCAGTTTCTTTACTCTCTCAAGGTTAGAGCTTTATGTCTTTTTAGCATTGCAGTTTTTGGTTTACAAGATACATTTTGAAGTTAGAGGTTTTTTATGCAGCAAAGTTGATGCAGAGAAAATACCTAAACAGCATGCTTTTGTCCCAGGTCGTCACTTGGTCCTTGTGTGCATTTTACTTGCCTTCCCTAAACTCTCGAATCTACTTAAAATCACCAAAGTGGAATTTTTGTGTATTGTTCAAAACAGGGTGAGAAAAAATATATTGAAAGAAGGTGACATGTTACATTTTTCTTTATATGCCCTTATACTTCATATACTGTTAGCTGGACTTTCTCCATGCTTCCTAGTTGTATGTCATTTTATTGCTGTAGTATGGGAGCTTAATTTTTGTGTCAGCAATTGAGGAGTGACACAAACTGTGTACCAACTACAGTACACTAATCTTCCTCTGTAGTCATCTGTGGTATCACCTTCTAACTTGTTTGAGGTTAAAATTGTTTGTCTCACTCTTCTTATTTGATGGTATTTTTAACAGTGAATGACTATCACATGTGAGTCACTCTTTTTGAGTTAGAGTGATGGAAGAGTTGTGGAAGTCATTTCACAAAGAAGATTGAGCCAAGGTGGAAGCAGCTCATTGGGAGGCCATCCATCTTTTAAGAACAGCTTCTATTGATGAAGTTAATTATAAGAATAGCTTACATTTATAAAATATAAAGTTTATAGAGTGACTTCACATGTAATATTTATTTCATTTAATTTTTAAGGTGGGCAGGGCAGAAATTACTTCTCAGTGAAGATCATAGCAGAGCCAAAAATAAATCCAGCTAGATTTTCTAACTGCAAGTACCATTCACAGACCAATTTTGACACCTTCATTATTTAAAGAGAACCATATGGAAAGGCTGTCTCATATGAAGATAGTTTAATATTTACTATGGAACATGCCTGAGCAGTATGTTTTACTTTAATTAAGGTAGACACTAACGTATTTAGCAAAAGCAAGTATTTGAATTACCACCATTATAATTTTAATACTCAATAAAAATTTGTGCACTAACTCTGTGCCAGATGATACAATTACAAATAAATCAGCATTCATCTCCACAAGAAACATATACTTTAGTGGAGGAAGTACTTTATAAATCTGATATCTGCCCTAGCTGGTTTGGTTCAGTGGATAGAGCATCCACCTGTAGACTGAAGGGTCCCGGGTTCATTTCTGGTCAAGGGCACATGCCCGGGTTGCGGGCTCGATCCCCAGTAGTGGGTGTGCAGGGGGCAGCCGATCAATGATTCTCTCTCATCATTGATATTTCTCTCTCTCTCTTCCCCCCTCCCTTCCTTTCTGAAATCAATAAAAATCTATTGTTAAAAAGATTTTAGCCCTAACCGGTTTGGCTCAGTGGCTAGAGCGTTGGCCTGCAGACTCAAGGGTCCCAGGTTCAATTCCAGTCAGGGGCATGTAATTTGGTTGTGGGCATATCCTCAGTGGGGGGTATGCAGGGGGGAGCTGATCGATGTTTCTCTCTCATCGATGTTTCTAACTCTCTGTCCCTCTCCCTTCCTCTCTGTGAAAAATCAATAAAATATATTTTAAAAAAGATTTTAAGAATATAAATCTGATATCTGTTGTATTGCAAGGTACTGGACAGGCTAGAATCAAATGACAAAGGTATTGGGATCTGAAGTGAAGATACATAATATAGAACAATAGGTTAGAGAATTTAAGGGAAAATGTCTTAGTATATAATTGTGTGTGTGTTTAAAATTGCACTGGATGTGGTGTTTTTAAATGAGTTAAAATTGTTAGTAATACCATAAAAAATGTAATACCCTATATGCATGTAGTGCTTTTTAACATTTTAAATGCTTTGCCATATATAATTTTATAGTAATCATGTATAAATGTAAACTTTTTGATTTTAGAACATCATAGGATCAAGTCCTGTTGCAGATTTCTCTGCTATTAAGGAGCTAGATACCCTTAACAATGAACTAGTTGACTTACAAAGGTATGTAAAGTAAAATTACAGATGACTACATAAATTATGTCTTTCTCTTTTTTTCTCCTTCCTTTCTCCCTCCCTCCTTCTCTCTCTCCTTCTTCCTCCCTCTCTAAAATCAATAAAAATATATTTTAAAACAAAACAAAATAAATAAATATAGCAAGTATTATTGATTTTCTTAATTTCTGTATTCCCTGGAAAGTTTATGGCAATATTCATTATAAAAATGACCTCCTAAAATTACTTTTTTTGAAATGAGGCCATTTTTTCACCTCTAAGGCATTGTATTTAAATATCACTGTGTTTACAAAAACTCTGCTTTTCCTTACCTTCACAACACTTTAATGCAGATAATGACTGATATTTTATTTTATTGATGGTGTTGAGACTTAGGGTGTTAAATAATTTATCTGGACTATATGGCAAGAACTCAGCAATGAACTTTTCTCATCCATTTGAACATTGAGATTGTTGTAGAGAAACTTAGTTGTGATTTTTTTTTTCAGTTGCAAGAAAGAACCAACCCAGTCTAACTTAAGTGAGGGTGAATTTGTGGACTTTTGAAACTAAGACCTCTTAGAAGTAGTGACAGCTTAAAGCATAGCGTTATACTTGGGCTCAAATAATATAATCAGTTCTCTTGCTCTCCCCATTTCTTTTTTTTAAAATATATTTTGCATTTCAAACGGGCCGGATCCGGCCCGTGGGCCATAGTTTGCCCACGGCTGCTCTATCCCCTGAGCCAAACCAGCTAGAGCTGCTCTCTCCATTTCTTGTTTCCACTTACACTGGGTTTGATCCATTCTCAGATGGATTTTCCCATTATGTTGTCAAGGGGGCTATAGCATACTTAGCCTCATGTACTTATAATTTCAAATCTAGTGGAGTGCCTCCCTTCTGGCAGTTCCTGGAACAGTTCTAAGATTCAACCTGATTGGAATAGCTTAGCGCCATGCCTACCCCTGAAACAATCGGGTGAAGGATGTATATATTTGATTTTTCATGAACTCTGTCCTGGGAGTGGTAGGTGATAATTTGCCACTGATACCATATGAAGTAGAGGAGAGGGTATCCCCACATGAAAATTCTGCAAGATGGAAAAATGCATTCTGGGGCGGTAAATGTCTGCAGAAGACAGTATAACTTTAAATCACTATTAATTTCAGTGATCAGCCTCTTTGAACAATATGACTCGACATACTGTAAACAGTCTGGGTACCTGTCATTGTTTTCAGCGCATCTGCCTTCTACCAAATTCTTATTTCCTGCTAAAAAATTGCCTTTGCCTGTTACATAAGCCTCTAATATTGGAAGTAAAAAATAAAGCAAAAGAAAAAACCCCTTGAATATCAAAAAGTCCCACTTTCTTTCTTACTCATGAAAAAAAATCAAATCCAAATTCACACATCAAATCATCAATCGTGCTGGTTGTATAAGTTTTACTTCTGTATTCTTCCTATTAGTCTGCCTCTCATTAAGATTTAAAAAGTTCTTACTGTGGTTCAGAATAGAAGTAAAATTTTAATCACTGAGTCTGTAATGGTGTGTAGACTTTTCATGATCATGTGGTCCATTAATGGCCCATTAACATTTTTTGTGTGCCTCCTAGGTAATACATATGTATTAAATAGTATCTAGATTTGAAAATGCTTGTCTTCTATGCCTCTCAGGCCTATGAAAATGGACACCAGTATTCTAAGACTTGCTTGACTTCAAGAGAAGTTATTTAACATATGAAATGTTCTATTGTGTGTTTTAATAGGAAGTAGAGCATCATACATAAAATGTTCTTGCCAGTGCAAACATTTGCAATTATTAGTTACATTTTGGTCAACTGAGCTTTCCCTAACTTTTAGTAACCCTAATGTTAAGTTGTACTAGTGGCAGTATTGCTTAGTGAATCTCAGCTAACATAAAAAACATACCTAACATTTTGCGACTGTCTTAGTAAGAAAATCATAGAACTCCAAAGTCTTTTTAGGTTTTAAGTTGTAGTCATGTTTTATAAATGTATAATACATGATTTGACATTTGTGAAAATACTTTCCCTAGGTTTTTATTTAGGTGAGGTCTACAGTGTAGCTAAACTTCCATCATCTGTCAACTCCAGTAATGTCATAATGAGACTCATCTACCCAGCTAAAATTATGATTGTTAAAATTCTCTTTTATAACTGTTTGTTTAGGTCACTAATTCCTTCAACTTTTGCTACATAGGCATTTAAGTATGTCAATCAAGTTAAATTAGTATGATACTTTTAACTTAAAAAAGGAAAAGCAAAGATAATAATGTAATAATCATATCAAATACCTAGATCTCTCACCTGAGCTCAACTTTTATATTTTTAATTGCCAAACAGTGTTTTCATTTGAATATCCAGTAGGATATGACTTTCTAATCTTTCCCTGACCACTGTCTTTATCTCTTTTATTTCCCTTTCTCAGTGACATCACTGTTCATCTAGTCACTCAAGCTACAAACTTGAGACAAACTTGAGATTTTTCTTCCTCTCCTCCTATTCTTCTATCTTGAAATGTTTCTTGAAATCGTTCCTACCTTCCCATTTCCTTTGCCTAATTAACTCTTCCTCATCCTTCAAATCTCACCTTAGACATCATTTCCTCCAGAAGAGGAAGCCCTCTCAACTTTTATGTCCCAAACCTGCACCTGTCAAATTTTATGTAACAGTCTATTGTACTTGGTCTTATACTTACTGTACTTTATTATAATTGCCTATTTTTTTGGATTTCTCACTAGACTACTTTTAAGCATAGGGACTATTTGCTTGTTCACAATTGTATTGCTTAACTTATGTAATAGATGAAAAAATAAGTGGCTCAATTTTGTTGAAATCTGCCCATATTTTTTTCTGTTTCTTAGTTTTAGCCTTTATCTTTATGTGGACCACTCTTATAACCTCCTAATTGACTCTCTGCTTTGGGTTTCTTGACCATCCTACTTCCAGTCCTATATAATAAAAGCCTAATATGATAAGTGTCTGGTCGACCTGTTGGCTGTTCAATGAAAGCGTAATCTACACTAATAAAAGAGAAACATGGTAATTGGCGTATGACCACTACCCTTCCCATTGGCTAATCAGCAAGATATGCAAATTAACTGTCAGCCAAGATGGGGGCGGGCAGCCAGGCAGCTTGAAACTAACATGAGGCTTGCTTGCCTCAGTGATGGAGGACTCCAACGTTCCCCACCTGCTGCTGCAGGCCTCTGAGCCTGCAGTTTGAAACATTTTAACAAATACCACCAGACTTCAGCCAGCAGATTCTCAACATGGTAAGCAAAGGCCAGAAACTTACTTTCAGCCCCGGAGGCCTAAGAGCTGGAGCCAAGCCTCAAAGCTAAAGCTGGCCCAGAATAAACAAAAAAGAAAAGAAAGAAAGGAGCAGTTGGGAGCTTCAGTCACCCCCAGCCTGAAAACAGCCCTCAGCCCCTCACCCAGACTGGCCAGGCACCCCAGTGGGGGCCCCTACCCTGAAAGGTGTGTGACCAGCTGCAAACAGCCATCATCCCCTCACCCAGGCTGGCCAGGCACCCCAGTAGGGCCCCCCCCCCTGATCCAGGACACCCTTCAGGGCAAACCAGATGGCTCCACCCATGCACCAGGCCTCTACCCTATATAGTAAAAGGGTAATATGCCTCCCGGCACCGGGATCAGCGTGACAGGGGGCAGCACCCAAACCCCCGATCGCCCTGCGGCTCTGTGTGTGACAGGGTGCGGGGCCACAACCTCCCTATCCATCCTGCTCTGTTCGTGACAGGGGAAGGTGCCCCAACCCCCTGAGCAGCCCTGCTCTGTGCATGACGGGGTGGCGCCGCGACCTCCCCATCAACCCTGCCTTGAGTGTGACGGGACAGTGCCTCAACCCCCCAATCGGCCCTACCCTGATCGTGACTGAGGGTGGCATCACAACCTCCCAATCTCCCTGCTCTGTGCATGACGGGGCGGCGCCCCAACTCCCCAATCAGCCCTGCTCTGAGCCCGACCAGGGGCTGCACCTAGGGATTGGGCCTGCCCTCTGCCACCCGGGAGCATGCATAAGCCAGCAGGGCGTTATCTCCAGAGGGGTCCCAGACTGCGAGAGGGCACAGGCCGGGCTGAGGGACCCCCTCTCCCCCCCGAGTGCACAAATTTTTGTGCACCCGGCCTCTAGTATGCTAATGATATGCTCAGGCTGCTCAACCACTCGCTATGATGTGCACTGACCACCAGGGGGCAGTCAACCAGTCACTATGACATGCACTGACCACCAGAAAGTCAAACAGCCACTATGATATTCACTGACCACCAGGGGGCAGACACTCCAACTGGCAGGTTAGCTTTCTGCTGGGGTCTGGCCAATTGGGACTGAGTGAGATGGGCCAGACACGCCCTGGAGCCCTCCTGCAGTCCCTCCCCAGCTGGCCAACCTCCCGCATCCCTCCCGGCCCTGATCGTGCACCAGTGGGGTCCATTAGCCTGGCCTGCACCCTCTCACAACCTGGGACCCCTCAGGGGATGTCAGGGAGCTGCCAGTTTTGGCCCAATCCGCAGGCCAGGCCAAGGGACCCCACTGGTGCACGAATTCGTGCACTGGGCCTCTAGTTGATGTATAAAGTACAACTCAGATCCCTTAGTGACTCCCTATTCCTACTGGATCCAGTTCACTTTTCTGAGTATGGCATAAAGGCTCTTCCTTCCTGGTGTTCCCTTGGCTCACTGACCATTCTTCTGCCTTAGCCATCCCCGGTAGTAAACACTGATAACACTGTAAGTATCTTGGGAGCAGTCACAGTATGTTTGCTCTTGTACTCTCAGTGTTCATTCAGCATAGTGCTCTAATCTACTGTTTAGTTTCATCCCTCTTCTCCAGCCAAATGGTGGGTGGGCTTATTACTTCTCACCTCAACATGCCACTACTTTTATTCTCTTTGCCTCTGATCCTGCTGTTCCCCTTTGCCTGAGATACCTTTTGCTTTGTAAACTTTCACTGATGCTTCAAATTTCAGCTTAAATACCATCTC